GTTTGTTGACACATTTGTGAACATATTGAATGAGCCCAAACCAAGCAATAAAGCTTTCTGGACCACAAGCTGTCAGTGAATGCATTGTTCTAAATAAGGGTTATATTATCCTATTGTAACCCAGGACATAATTTAATTCTTCATGAATGGTTTTGTGAAATAAATGGATTATTTAAGACCAAACAATGCAGAAGAAAATACAAAATCCGAAAGTAATAGAATCAAAACAAGTTTTCTGAATCTGTAAAGAGAGCACTGTCATACAAAATTAGCATTACATCTGACACTACAGTCATTACTCATACAGTATACAGTATTCATTTTGTACACTAATTGATAGCAAATCAAAGTTGACCCTTTTCTTGCATTCATCTTATTATTCTATTTGTGCTTAATGTACAGCACACAGCAAATCTGGAACATAATGACTCCACCATAAAAACAGAGCCCCTCCAAAAATGTAATAGTTTCTTCAGATCATAATGATTGGGATAGAGGTATGAATATATAGAGGTTATTTGGTGTAGCCCGACAAGCTGAAAAACAGCTGCCTGACCAAACCCACCTCACTACTATAAGGAATGAGCCAGGGAGCTGCTACATGGGTGTAGATAGAGTGCACGAGAAATGCACAATGTTAAGTTCAGAAAGTGAGATAGACATACAGTATACACATAGGAAAGCAGACATACTGTAGGCAAGATTAGAATTTAACCCACCTCCTGAACTTCTGTTATAAAATCCATTAATGACATACAATAAATTCAGCTGAATACAACAATAGGTGATTGGTTTTACAACATTACAACTTTTTATGCTCAGGATGGACCAGAGAAGACAAAAGATATACATACATAAATACATAAATACATGAAGGTCATGGGGGACTAAATGTGTTGGAAGACCTCCATCGAGTTTCTTGTCAATACTGTTAGTTTTGCACTGGGAAACACCATTGGACTCCTGCACAGTGCAAAGATTCTTTCTACAGACACATACTCTAAAAACTGATGTCTGGGCAATATAACACCTATTGTTCCACTGCCAAGATTTCCCTTGGCTGTCAAAAAGTTACTGTAGTTTTTCAGTTTGACAAGAAGGCTATAACTGAAAGTCAAAATATTATACTGCCCTTTATATAAGGTTTAGTTCAAAATGCAGCATTTGGGTTATCACTGATCATGAAACCTTACAATCATAGGTAGTGTGTTGAACCAAATAGCAAAATATCCAGAGATGGTTAAAAAAACACTGACAGCCACCAACTGCAAGAAAGACAAGGTGCTTGAACTAAAAGATGTATTTTATTACAATGGGCTACACATTTGTAGAACGCCAACAGAGCCCAATAACATGCCTTACAGATTATTTTGACAGAATATTTGTTAATTATTTCACACAGCAGTGCTCCCGAACAGAAATGGTGTATCATTTACAAAGAGGGCTATCAAGTATCTACTACTTTCTCTGACACTTAAAGACCTGAAGCATTAAAAATACTGCAAAGATTAAATATCTGTCTGTTAGCAGTCTCATCGTTGAGCTCTTTTCTTCTCCTTTCCAGACAAAGAAATTCAAGCCTTAAGGGCAGTTCGTAACAGCAGCTCCTTGCACATCAACAAATGTGCTCACTCTTCTCTGTTTCAGGGCTCTGGGTGCCTGTTCTAGTAACCCCATTTCCGGAACTTTACAACCACACCATAAGATGACTGCTGTTGTATCCTGCAGGGATATCCCATTGTTTTTGACTGGCAGATGTCTCACCGGGCCCAAGAGCATTCTGCGGTTTGTGGGCAACTGGTTGGTGGTTACCACTTCCAGCCACCCGAAGATCACATGCCAAAACTGAACCACTGAATTAAGAACAACGCAATTCCAAAAAAACGGATGCCAAAAACAGGATACAAAGGATCCTAATTCCAGGATGAAATACTAAAGCCTTTAAAAGACAACCTCTTCTCTTTCATCTTTCATCAAATCATCTTACAAGCCAAGCAAAATCACATGTGTTTGTTCGAAATCCCGGAAGAGATTAATGAAAATCAGTGCCTCCCAGATTCCTCTTAACGGCAGCAACTGCGTATAAGTACTTGTAGTTTGTCATCTCCAGTCCTGCTGAGGGACTATTTTTTGCAGGGCTATTTTTCTCTCTTTTAATCTAAAAATAAAACCTTCGACTGATTTCTCTTTTAAACATTATATCGCCCTTTTTGTTTTCGCTTTTGCTTTGCTTTGCTTTTATTGCCCCACAAGGGAAAATTGCTAAATAACACCATTGGTTAGGCAAATAAATGTTCCCTGCAATGAAAACCCATTTGGGAACAGCACATTCAGCGGAGGCCTATCACTCAGGCAACGCGAGGCATGCAAGGAACTCAGTTTAAATAAAGGGTATGAAATAACAGAAAGAGAAACTGGGTTCTATTACCTCCGCAGTTTCGTGCTGTATTCTTAAAATAATACTGCAATCATCCTCTAAACACTCAGCGGTAAAGCATGGAAAAATCCTACAGCTTTACTACAGGTGCCAAAAATAAATTCTGAAAAGCACTGCTAGTAAGCAGAGCTGCAGTAAAAAAAAAAAAACTTTTTGAGAGTGCTACACATGGCCTTCAATACCGACAGTGTACGCCTGCTTCAAATTAGCCTGCACTGCTGCTCCACGAGTGAGAAGTGTGGCTCAGAAGGAACAGAGTAAAACCGGCCTAAAGGAGGGGCCAAGTAGAAGGAAAAGTAACACTGAGTGACATCTTAATGAAAAGCACGTTCCCAACAATAACCCACAGCCTTCCCAGTGTTGTCTGTTGTCTGTCACATAAAGCCTGTTCACAATTTATGCACATAGGAAACCCTCAGGAAACCACAAAGGACACTATTTCTACATTTCCAGAGGGATCTGTCCACATGTTTGGATTTTTCCCAAATTATTGTGCACTAGGAGCAAAACAGGGAGCTCCAGATGGGAGCATGGGAAATCTTGAGCTTTGGCAACAAAACTGGAGGACATTCTTCCTTTTCCACAGCTTTACTCTAGACATACCTGTGCTACTGATTTTCAAAAGGCTTTGCTGTTCTGTTGTGCTCAGCGTTGTTGCACTACATTGCTGAATCTCCTTTTAATGTTCTTCCAGCTACATCGCCACAAAAGGACCTACACACCATAAACAACCCTTAGTCTGTTCCAGATCCATCTGCACTGTTAATCTGACACGAGAGACATCTCCAGGGAAGGGAGTTTGTAAATTCCACAGGCATACTGTATATGAACCAAGTCCTACACAAGAGTGACTTTAATGTCTTCACATGTTTGTGCCTTTAGAGAAAGTGCTTTTTGCGGGTTTTATTTGGGGCATTGTATTTTTAGCTGTTGGTGTATAGCACATTTGAAATAAAAGCCTGGCACGGCTTTCACACCTCAGTTATTTCTCAGCTTTAGTGCTCTACACCTGCATTCCTCACCTCTGACCTTCGGGGTAGGCCAGGACATTTAGAGTAACGAGGCCAATTGTCAAACAATGTGTCAACCTCCAACAACACTTTCCGCTGTTTTAAACCGAAGTCCTTTATGCCTGAAGAAGGCTTTATGGACTACAGAAAATATCAAGTAGCAGGAGGTTCTTGCCAGACGACTGACAACACTAAAATAAAACACACTGGGGATGCTATTTGTGGTAAAGCCAAGCTCTTGTAACGGGCAATGAGCACTAAAGCACTGTCTGGAACTAGCCAACTCTAAACTCTCTGGAGTTCAAACAACAATCAGCCCCCCTTACTAGACAGTGAAAACGGACCATGCTGGTGAACTGCCAAATTAATAATAACTAAGGAAAAAAATTGTTCAGCACAGCTATCAGAATAGTATGAAGTAAGCAGCCTTTCAGAAACTTTTCATTATTATTTAAAGCACTTCCTTTTGTCCTCTGAGGAGAAGTAACAAACTCCAGTATCCATTTGATGTTCTTGTAAAAACAGTGTTTTTTTTATGTGGGAGAGAGCTGGCATTTGTTGAAAAACGGCTCAAATTCTTTCACACAGGTGGCTATCTGGCAGCCTTGGTTAAAAGATTCCACAACGAGGCAAGGATTCTGAAAACTGGATCCCAGTCAGTCTTTTAAAGACACAAAAGATGGGACAAGGTTGACTTAATGCAATAAAAAAGACTGGACGTCTGGATAGGAAAGTTTTTTTCTACCAAAAACTGTGGGGTAATTGTTTGAATGGCTTTTAATGCAGACTGACTTCTTTCTTCATGATCCCTGTCTTTACAAATTTATTAAAGCCTTTTAAAGGTGTTGTTTCACCTAATGTTATAAGGACAACCATAACCCGAATTAGTCCATAAACTCACTTGTTATTGTAATTCACTGTTGGAAATTCTGTCAGCTGAAAATATTTTATCACAAAATAGCATGCGAAGAAAGCACCTGGCTTTCAGAAGATCTGTGCGATTCACTCTTCCATTGTATAAGTAAAACAAGGGTGTTGCTGCATGGCTTATTACTCTGTGATTAGGCAGTTCTGAAAATTTGTCAGAGTAAACCGTTGAAAAATAAATTGATAAAATAAGTTTCTCACGGCGGATGACATGACAGCGAACTAAGAAACAGTGAAAGTTAACATAGTGCCAATTGTTCCAACGCTGCGACTGTTGTACTTGAGACACCAGAGAAAATGGATCTGTTCCGCGTTAAATTACCAAGACCTAAAAGCAGGATTTTAAAGGTGTCGTATAGCAACACTGCTTTAACGCTCTTACAGTATGCAAAGCCTAATATAAAAATGTCTTGCATGCCGTGGGAACAAGCGCTTACTATCACAGCACGCAGTTCAAGATGAAAACTTTTTTCCATCATGCACATAAAACAATACCATGATCAAGAGACTGCTTTCGATAAGCAAGGAAATATGTAAAGAACGAACTCATATATAATTGGCGCATAACATCTAAAAAGATTCTGTAACTGCATAGTATTTATTTTTCTGATGATTGTATCACTTACCACAGAAAAGTAACAGCATCTGCCTCATCATTCTGACCTCCGCGATGCGTTATCAGAACCGTTCTTTTGTTTTCTCTGTTCAACCTGAAATTGAAAGTTGCAAATCAATTATGAAAGAGCGAGAACAGCTCATCATTGTTCATTATTATTCGTACTCAACCTCTAGATTATGCCCTCGGTTGAAATAGTATGCAATTTAGTATTCTGTATTACAACTGGGGGAAAAAAGTAAAGGAAAATGACTACGGAAGCTAGAGAGGGAGAAGATACAATTTGTTCCGTAAAGCAGTAACTGCGTTGCTTAATATTCAGAGTAATGTACAAGATTGTTACTTTTCTTTACTTACCCGGGGGCCGTGATAACTCACAAACTTTCATCTGTACTGAAGTGAAGCAGATTGCTGTGTTACTTGAAGTGAGTCAAACTCTTTGACAAAACTTCTGAGCCAAAACTTGCAACATGGAAACTGTGCAGCGGAGCGGCGTCGTTCAGGAATGAACCTCGCTAAAAAGAGACTGATCTTGTGTGCTCCCTGTCACACGCTGAACTGCACTATTTGCTCAGCACTCGTTCAGAGGAACAAATCTAGCAAGGGGGAAAGCAGGCAATGAATTAAAGCAGTTATATAGTACATTACATGTTAGTTTTACTTTCTCCAGTAATATATATATATTATATTTTGGGACCAAACAGATTACGTACTGTATGTTGGGAGGGACTGTAGAAAATCTGAAAATTCTGAAAATAGAATTGGGGAAAATTCTATTGGAAGTTTAACCAAGATACATTGTGATGATAATCCAGGAATCTTCACTTTTGATTTAACTTGTTCTCATACAATGTTTCTACTGTGCTTGTATAGATGTGATTGCAGGTTTGTACTGTATGTGTCAGAGGTGGGTGGGAGGCAATTTCACGGAGCCCTAGGTCTTCAGTTTTCTGTGCGCTTACAAAAGCTCCACGTCAGTATTTCGGAACTACCTTTCCTGTCGGGTTCCGAACTCCCGCATTTCCAACACCAATGTGCCCCCCCTTCACTTTTCATCGCCATAATGAATAAGCTGTTCCCCACCTCCTGCCCAGTAACAGGTACAGCGCTTAAAGAGGGAGAAAACAGTATTTGAGTCAGCCATACACAGCCTATTGAACTATTCTGTCAAAAACATACGTAGTTTATGTTCTTAAAAATAGCTTGAAGGTATCCAGTTCTGATAAGTTAAAAATACTGTACATTTTCTTCATTCTCTCTTTCCCCAATCAGTATGTACTGTAGGTATAACATGATAGCCTATTATTTCTGCCACCCATATCGCACACAGGCAGCACACATTGCTTTTGAAAATCTCTAATTGGTTTAAAATAACTATTAGCATTTCCAATGCTTGCATAGTGTGGATCAGGAGTAGCACGCAAAAGATATGGTGAAACCCTTTCAATGACAGCGGTTTAGCAAGTTGACATCCGTCAGAAATCCATCAGCGTTCAACAGCTAAGAAAGCTGTTCCTGGGTGTTGTCATTTTTTGGGGGTTTTTTGGTTATTCCTTTTTGGCCAGTGACTGTGTACACACATTCTATCACATTGATTTGAGTCTTATAAAAGCACAGCTTCGTTTAGTGAAGTCGGAAATGGTGATCAAAATAATCAGAATACTAAAACATACAGGATCACTAGTTCACCTGGGGGATTTCTGTATGAAGCAAACTTAATCAGCAGCAAAATAGTGTAATTGCAGAACTGGTCATGTCCCCAGTCACCCTCTGGCATTTAAGAAGCTGCTACTATAAAATATGTACTGTACAATATTCATAATCATTTACAGTAAACCAATGCCCACTGGAATCCACCCATTTTCTTACCACTTCATCCAGCATAGGATCCCAGGGGAACTTGCTCCTATCCTGGAAAGCAATCGAAACATGGCAGGCACCTTAATAATATTTCCTGACCAAGTTATCTGGAGACACAAATTAAAAACAATCTTTTGTTTCTGATCCGTTTCTCAATCAAGCTGTGGTTTGCTTTTACAAAGAGATAGAGAATCCCCCAAAACTTATTTAGGAACGGTTTAGCTCTGTTGTTCTTAGAACTAAAAAACAAAACGAATTCTATAAGAACTTGACAATGTTATTTCCAAACAATTAAAACAGCTCAGTGTCCATCAACTCTGCGTTGTCTACATTAAATGACATGAACATAAAAATAAACACATAAGTAATAACTTGGAGTTATTAACTGTAATTAATTGAAGAATTAACTGTAACCCATAAATGACACCAGCTGATTTTTAAAGAACTCTTCAAAGCATTATATTCAACACATCACTGAGAATTTGCTGATTCTTGATTGAACAGCTAGAGCATCTGATGCACTCTGGTGGACTAAACAAGAAACAGCACCAATAGCAGACCACTAAAGGTTATTTCTAGATTAATGAAACTTGCAGGTCTTGTACTGCTGGCACACACAAGTTTTCTTGTTTTTCATCTCTAAACCTTGATCTTTGACTTGTAATTCTGCAATACACCTTAGATTAGGCCCCAGGCAATTGCTGGGCTCACAATTTAGAAACTTGGGAGAAAACTGGAGCCTAATACAGAAAATGCATGCAAACTAAGAGGGACCATGCAAACTCCACACAGAAGGTACCTTTGTCTGGAATCAAATCTAGCAGCTGGGAGGCAGCTGCAGTAACGCCCACACCACTTTGACAAATGCCAAGAAGAAAAATCTTTCATGATGCAGAAAACCCAAACAGTAAAACCTCGTATCAAATGCATGTTTATTGTTTATACGTTTCTCTGTCAATGACAAGAACTGAGGATTCATGCACAAATGTAATAGACAGACATATCTGAGAATATACACAACTGAGATTCTTTTTCTTTGTATTGGAGGCATCTCCATTTCAATCATACAGTTTTACAATCTCTTCTCAGGAGTTCTCAACAGCTAAATCAGTACCCACTTTTCTTCCGGGTAAGCTTGCACCAGAAACTAATCAAGTGCCCCAAAATGACCATTGAGAAACTCTCTTCTTTAGAATTAAGTATCAGTCTATCCTCCACCATATCACTTAATAGCAGCTTTGTAACATGAACTCACAGGCTTTTGGACAAAGGAAAAAGCAAAGGTAACAGTACAATAAGAAAAGTGTGGTGTTATATTCCGGTCTTTGCAATACATTTCTGAAGCCAAATCTAAATTTGTCTGATTAGAAAATACAAATTTGTGACATGTTTTAAACAGGCTTGGGCATGGTATACAGCACTTCAAAATTCGTCCTCTCACTCCTAACTATACAATTACTGTTTTAAAGGACACTATATATTTAGTTATCAGATATCTAATTAGTTTTTAAATTATATACAGTATTATGTATCATAATTATCAAGGTATCATGATTATTACACCTGAGCTTATTCCATCAAATGACATATATTTCTACACTTTACCAAAGGCAGAAAGACACTTTGTGCAAACCATTGGGTTTATTAAGGACTGCAATAATGTAATGTGAGAAGGAATTTGCACATTTAAAATAGGCGCAGATATTTATTTATTGTTTCTATCATGGGTAGGGGGTTAATGGACTTTAATGGAGAAAACGCCCGAAAATACTGACCAAGGATATTTTCAAATTATAGAAACATACTTTAAAATCCCTGATCTACTTTTATACTGTAGGTATCTTCTAACGATTTTAAAATATATTTACCTGTTCCGGAAAAAAAAAACATTTAAAAAAGTATCTAATACAAAATGACAGCATTACTATGCTGAAAATCTGGCAGAAAGCAAAGATTTTGTTTTTTTTATTTTCAAAAATGCTCGTTTCTTAAAAAGTGCAGTGAAGTTCACAAAAGTAATATTTAATAGCAAACCTACCATATTTTCAGCAGGCAACAAATGGGCTAGTTTTATGCATTTTATCTTAAGTACATAGGTAATTAAGCATTAGATAAGCATCAAAACAAAGAATCAAAAACAGGAAAGATCTGAGTCTCTCACATCTCACACATCATTTATATCAACAGATTATTAGTTACAGGACCAACCAATGTAGTCTTTTTGACACTCCCAGTTTGTTTGAAATCTTGAAAAAATATGTAATTCAAAGCTTCCTGCTTTATGAAGTCAGTGAGTTCTTATATTCAAAACACTTAGGCAGCTAAAACTCGATTGCTTCAAATATCTAAGCACTTAAGGGCCATTTGCAGACCAAACATAGTGCAGTCTGTGTTTGTGCCATGACAATTCAAAAACTAAACAAGACATCCTCTATACTTACAGTACATTTATTAACGAGAAGAGCCTCAATATACCGATATGTTGCAACTTATTAGCAAACAAAGCTTCGCATGAGTTTTGCACCAGCTCTCCAAATAAATCATGGTACCTGTGGGTAACCAGGATGGTCTGACATGCATAGCCTACTACTCTGCTCCTGTCTGGGTTTGAGTAGTAGTTATAGTGTGGAGCACAAACAAGACTGTTCAGGGAGCAATCTCCCAGTCTGTCTCGCCACAGCCATATACTGGCACGAGTGATGATGAGGAAGGAAGGAAAAAAAAACCATTTTATTAAAGAGTAGCTGGAGATTCCATACTATTCTGTCTCTCCCTTCAGCTGGTTAGAAATACAGCTATTCTTATTCTTAGGAATAAAAAACTAATGGAGTAACTCAAGATGAATGACATTTGTAATTGTTATCTTTAAATTACAGTACATGCTAGCAGGTCATTCTATACATGTGCTTAGAATTATCTAGAGGAGTAGTGGCACATGTGTGCCATCCATTGCTCTCACTAATCAGGTAAAACTGTGTAATGGAAAATTTGAAATATACGCCTTCATCATTGTAGATGAGGCTGCAGATGAGGCACAGGGAAACACAGAGTGGAATGTGCCAGACTTCCACATCTACTACTATAGGCCACTGAGAGAAACATAGCCCAGCTTCTCTGGGTTAGAGGCTCCAGGCTGTATTTTAGAACATTAAACTCCTGTTCCTTATCTGGGCTTTGTATAACTACAAAAGGATATGGTAAGTACAAATCACATTTTTGATACTTCTAACGGGACTATCCGGAATCAATGAGTCATTAATGGTTTAGTTGCAAAGACCAAACATCTTCACACAAGGTTTCTTTAAATTGTTTTTGTTCAGTACATCCTCCACTCATTTGTAAAAGGCTTATGGCTTGTAAAAAAGGCTCAGTACATTGGTATATCTGTCCCTGAGTGTTTTGAATACAGAGCCCAGTATTTTTACCCGATAAAGATTATTCATTATGGCAATAAGTGCTGACTGTGGGAGTCTTGGATTTTTAGCACTCTTTTAGTCTAAATTAACTCTAGCAAACAATCACTCTCATCAGGACCTGGTTTTGTTACATTTTTGAGCAGAACACGATTTGTCTGTCTGTCTGTCAAGTTTTTCCATCCTTGTTTTTTAGAGATATTCTTTAATACAATGTTCTACTCAATAATGGTCATTTTAAGCATAAAAAGGAATTCTACACTCAATATCATACTGTCAATAAGTGATCAAAAAACAATAAAAATCCCTTTTATGTTAGTTCTTTAAACGTAAAGTGTCACGTTTATACAGTTATAGGGCTACAAAGATACATTTTGTCTTGCAAATCTCCACAACATTGCCCGTGTCTGCAGTTTTCTGGGCATTACGGGAAGCAGGTTAGATTACTTCTTCGTCCTAAAGGTCACATCTAGGGAGGACAGTGTGTTGATGGTTCCTTTCGTTAACAAAAAAAAAACCCAATCAACTCACTGGAGATTCAATCTGGTTTCAAAGGCCAAATTTGTAGTTTGTTTGCGTGCAGTTTTGAACATATTTAATACATAGTCAAGGTACATTTCTTCACATCTAGAAAATCAAAAGTAACACGGGGAAAAAAAGGCCTCTCAGTAGCCTTGCCTTTGAGCTCTGGAGCTGCTCTTTAAACAAGAATCAGAGGCTGAGGTCTAAATAAGACCTCAAGAAGTGTCAGTCAATCTAAATAAGTGTCGGATCTGAAGATCACTTATAAAATGCAGGTGTTGTACTGTGTCACGTGTTCACGTATAATGTCTCTGATGCTGGTGACATTCCGCTCCAGATCAGCCAGTTCATCCCTTTGCTCCTGCATCCTCTTCTCATTGATCCGATACCTCTTTTCGAGATCTAGGTGGAACAAGAGAAATCCTGCACTGAGTGAAAGTCCAAGAGTGACTCGTTCTAAAAACATGGAAACGTCACAAGGAACACCAGAGAAATACGAGAGACTGTCATCCATTCTCCATAGTGTCAACCCGCCATAGTGTCAATCA